AACCATAGGGCAGAATAAATTTGCTATGAAGCAAAAAAAGTATTTTGAGTGTACCTGAGCCTTCGTCATGCTAGGTATCCTATCGCCCATTGCCGATCGGCGCTTGTCCGCTATAGCGATAGCGCGTTCTGCCGGGATAATTTCAGATGTAGTACGGTTCACTAATACCTAAATGTTAGTAACTAATTTATGTAAAATTGAGAAATGATTGAATTGACAACTTAAGTTGATAACTGCTGGAATTTTTCGCGTACATTGACTTTTATATAGTTCCTTTAAAGTTGAAAATATAGGTGAAACTTTGTAAAAGATTACCCCAAATCCAACTCTGTTTCAGTAAAAAATCAGTGTGAAGTTGTCCCAAACCTCTGATCTCATAGTAGCAGTCTTCTTCATAAGAGCAATGACCCTCCTCCTCTAAGTTAACCCAAAAATTTAAAAAAAAAAACTAACCAAGCGAAGATCGGTAACGTCGTAAACTAGGTTCCCCTCTTCATGATGATACTGCAAATCTTTGATCATAGCTTTGAGACCAGTTGCGTTAGCAATAGTTCTGAATAAAGGCTTAAGATTAGAAATATGAAATAGAAAAGGGTGTTAACCTGAAAAAAAGGTAGATGGACTAACTCCAAGGTTACTGTGTTTCTAGAAAAAGACAATATCTTCTAATTGCTTATCTTAGAATAAATATCACATAAAAATACTTTGAGAATTCCTACAATGTTTGGGCTATGTATGAAAACCCCGCCTCGCACGTACCCAGAAAATTGCCCCTCATAATTTTTTTGGCTCAAGACTAGTACTTGTCTCAAGAGTGTCACTTACTATATTTTGATTTCCAGATTATCTACCGTTTAAGGGTGCGACATTTATATCCGGATTACACATGCTCATAAAAGTCCCACTGCTCGTATAGGACGGCGTTACTCACCCCTTCATGGTAGAAATTTTCTCATATGTTAATGCAGCCGGAGGTATGGGCAGCTCCATTCGTACCACATCACTATCGTCATGAACATAAGCCTAAAATGTGAAGTCTTCAAAGGTTATGTCCTTAAACAGATTCTTAACTAGTGTAAACAGTAAATTTTAGTACTGCTAATTGGGAGATCATTTA